CTAATATTAGTAACTATTTTGCCTTAATTTTTATTTTTAAAATCTATTTTTTTTACGAGCCCGGGTCATGGTCTTGCAACAGTTAGTCGGCTTTGGTCTTGGTCAAGTGCAAGACCAAGACCGATTTTGGCCAACACTACTCCTACCCATAAACAAGTATATTGGATCATCTGCTTCCGTTCACAAAGATCGACAAATATAGGCATTTCTCCTAACACTAGACGTTAAGGAAGATCGCTATCCGACTACCTGAGTTCACCCATTTTCATCAAATTATTAACATCCGGCTAAAACTTCATAAATAGCATCATCTCATCGTAACCTACAAATATTCAATTTACGAAAATTCTCGGGTGTTTTCAATCTGGAGGTCGGCAAACTTTGTCTATTTAATTAGCTACTAAAAACTCGTATATACCGATTTGCTTTCCACTTGAAGCGTAAGATAAGTTCTGCACGAAGTCAAGAAAATAAGTGACGTTCAAACAAATTAAGCCGTGTGGAGTGACCTACATCCTCAAATTGTCGTGGTTATATGGGCCAAAAGGCCCAATATTTTTTAAGGCCAACTTTTGTATAGATTTTGTGATCCAATTATCTTACGATCCGAGTGGAAAGTTTGCTAATTGTAGGTAACTATGAGATGAAGCTATTCAAGAAGTTTCAGCCGGATTTTAATAATTAGATGAAAAGTGGTCTGTATCACAGACTAGAGTGCTTCATGGGCAATCATAATTACTCATATATATTATAAAGCAGGTTGTTTCGATCAATAACCATTGATATGATTCAAATGACTATTGGAATTATAATAAAAGTATTTGTTTGAGTTCTTGAAGTTAAACTCTCGAACCCAACGCTCTTCATAAGTTCGTTAAAATAATATTTTGTTTTGTAATTAAGAAAAGCCATTAGACTTAAACTGTCCAACTGTTTTGCATTAATTAAAAAAACAAATAAAGGTCTTTTATCCTTTACTTTCAAAATTAGATGATGTATTAAGTAACAAATGTACATAATAATATTTTAGCGCTTACTTAAAATCTAATTCTTAATTTAAAATATTTTCTCAACTACCTGAACGTTAAATAGTAGAATAAATGAAACATAATAATTACTTTGTATAGAGAAGGGAATTTTCCTTCAAGTTGAGACAATGTGCAATCACATTTCCATAGCAATATTATACGACTAAATAACCGTCATCTTAAATGGAACAAGTGTTACTCCTCCACATAGAGAACCTACATCTGTCACATCTGTCCAATCATCGTAATAAATAGTTAATGCTACTATCCGTCACACAGGTTTTACATTATAAATAATCTAAGGACCCAGATGTGAGTAATAAACCTGTCCAAAAAAGGCAGCAAGAAAATTTGAAATTAATAGGAACATTAATTTCGAGGAAGTTATAAATCTACAATTCTGTATTCTAAATTCTTCAAGCGAATAATATTGTTATATATATATATATATTTTATTTATATTTTTTTTTTTTTTATATTGTTATATTTGTTTCTTTTTTTTTTTTTTTGGTTGTTTGTGGAGCCACCAATAGGTCTCACACAACTTCTAGTATCATGCGTAAAACTGATTTCTTGCTAGTTATAATCGCCGCAAATAATGTATATAACGTTGAAGAGATGAAAATCTCCAATCATTATTGTTAAGCTCCCTCTTAGTTTAAATCAACTTCGAATGAAGCCTAACTATTATTCAAATTAAATTGATTGCAATTTAAAAGAAAGTGGACAGTATTATGAAACATTTACACTTACTAATAATAAAACAATAAAAAATAAAATTAAATCAATTTTACATTGGTATCAATAGATAAAACAAATTAATAACTTCTAAAATGAAAATAATGATAAGCTGAATAAAATGTTAATAATAATTATGAAATATCTAATAAAATAGTTGGATGTTTGATTATGGAAAAATTAATATATATATTAAACCTAATTTAGGAATTATACAAAACTGAACGAAAACAAAGTAATAAAAGTTGAACAAGTTTACGTGGTCGCAAGCAGGTGACGGTCGTAGATATGGACGAACCGCTGGCACTCCAATCCTTCTTCAGCGACTGAACGCAGGTTCAATATGAGCGCTCATATAATTAAAACTGCAAATAGCACGACGAGAAAAGTACGTCTCTTCACAGTAGAACTGCGGTGGGCAGTGTTGAAGTAGGCAGTATACAGCTATTGTCAATTCTACCGCCTTATGACTTGAACCTAGCACTTGTTTATAGCTAGGGCTACAATCGATACCAATTTAAGTATAAACTAATGACCATGAATTTACACAAAATAAGCTATGGGCCTAAGAATATATACATATAATTATTAATTGGTTTCATTTTATGAGACAGATCAAATGACAATTAACCAAATATGTTGAAAATAAAAATAAAATAAATTAACGCTGTGGCGTTAACAATTATTATAAATTAATTATAAAAATCACAAAAACGTTTAATAAAAAAAAAATTGCATTACTAATGAGATCATAGGTGCAGCGAATGGGGTTGAAATAGCTTGACGAATCACATTTAAATGGTTGGATGAATGAGTGGAGACTGTTGTCTTTATAACGAATTTCCTCCGTATTATAGTAACACTACCAAGAGTGGAAATACAGCAAATGTATGAATGAACCGTTTGGCAAGTAGAAAAAAACAAACCCACATTCAGAAATAGAAGGGAAAGAGCCTACTTGTTGCCTAACCAGTTGATCGCGCCTGTTGCTTACTGCTTGTTGCTCTCTAAAATCGGCCCACAACTTTTCTTCTGCTAGAAATAAATATTCAAAAGTGGACAGAACTTGATCAATGTACTTTTATATCATAAATCAGAGGGCATTAAATAAATAATAAATAGTCGAAAATTTAATAATATGCTCCACTTTCATTAATCCAACATACATACTACTCAGATAACAGAGATTACTGAATGAGAAAAGCCCTTAAATTTACAGAACGTCTGATACTAGTAAGATTCTTCGATATGTAAAAGGAGCCTTTATGTGCCTTGAATACAAGTACCTTTATTAATTTTCTACAATATTGTCTCCCATTTTTTTTTTTCGTCAGTGGAAGGTGGGGTTGTGGTTTCTATCCGTTTTGGAACCCTTAGCACTATTCTGCAATTTTTAGAGATGTCAGTTGTATATATATATTTAAACATCACTATTTAATTGGGAATAAGGTCACTTAATTATTATTTAATAAACTAATGAATGTTCATTTCTTCTGTTTATTGACGTTTCGATCCAGGTATTTTCTTTTTATTAGTCAACCATGGGATCCTCTTCAAAGCTAGAATTTTAAAAAATAGAGCTTCGATCAGGCCAGGGACACACCGACAGTCTCAGCACCGTCCACTAGCATATATATTAAGCTACTGGCTTAATATATTTAAATATTAAATATTAATCCAGTAGCTTAATATATATGCTAGTGGACGGTGCTGAGACTGTCGGTGTGTCCCTGGCCTGATCGAAGATCTATTTTTTTAAATTCTAGCTTTGAAGAGGATCCCATGGTTGACTAATAAAAAGAAAATACCGGGATCGAAACGTCGATAAACAGAAGAAATGAACATTCATTAGTTTATTAAATAATAATTAAGTGACCTTATTCCCAATTAAATGGTGAAGTTTAAATTTAATACTCAAAGGTCGATTAAGGAAAAATTGTAAAGACATATATATATATATATATATATATATATATATATATATATATATATATATATATACATTTTCCACTGTTACATTTCGGCTTCCCCAACGACCCCTGTTTGACTGAATAAGCTGAAATTCGGTATATAGAATTTGTTCCTAGACGGAACAATACTCTTAATTTTGGAAAAATTTCGTCAAATTTCGATATGTTCACAGATCCTTTTTTTCACATTTTCCCTGTTTTTAAAGCATTGTGCATCTCCTAACAACGTTGTAAGGTAAATATATTAAGTTTGTGTTGGAGAGGTTTCATCACAGTTTCCATTTTGTTTCAAGATGGCGGCGGAAAACCCGGTTTATCTATATACTACAGCACTAAAACGGCTGTAACGGTACTGATAAAAACTTTATTAAAGTATTTGCCATGAAATACTGTAAATTTATTATATAACATACTTTCTCGAAAAAGGACTAGAAAAGTAAATTTGATGAATGCAAAATTTTATTTCCGAATAACTCAAAAAGGGTGTACTTTTTGTCCTGTTTGGATCAGAACATATTTTGAACACATTTAAATTTCCTAAACGAAAAAAAAAACTTTCATCGAAATCCGTACAGTAATTAAAAAGATCAGTCATACAGTTTCTTTTGTACAAAACAATGGTCAGCTTTAGAACATTCGGAACAACATATCTTTTTACCAAATCGTCCGGTTTTAATTATTTTATTTTTTAGATAATTTAGAATACTTTCAAAAGTCCATATCAACAAATACTTTTTGTGTTTTTTTGGATATCCAATGTTAACATCGTAATTATTTTTGTCGGCTTCTTTTGGATATAGAATATTCATCGGTTTACGCGCTGCATCTTTTTTTTTTTGTTTTTTTATATCTCAAACCTATCCGTAGAGTCCTAATTCTGGTATGATAATTTTTATAATTATATACGTAACTTATTTAAAAGATATATAATTAAATAAATATTATAAACGTCCTAACCTTTGTGTATAAACGTTTTCCTGTGTGGTAGGTAAATCAATATGTGTAGGTATACATATTGAACTTATAACTATTTGAATGCGAATGCAACAATTTAATCCTTTTATATTTTTGCCTTCTTTTTTTTTTTGTGTGTTTTGTTTCAAAACTAAAATAAAACATTACAGCATTAAATAAATAAACTGCATCACATATTTCATAATAAATCTTAATGAAAGAATAATAAAAATGATCACACGAATAATACTAAAATACTATTTGTTTATCATTCGAGTTAAGGAGTTCTTTTTAATGTTATCGATAAGATAAGAAAGGTGCAGCCGATAAAAACTGTTCGGATTACGAACGCTAGTATCGATAATGAGACCAAACGATGAAAGTATATACAGACCTTGGAGTAGCGAAGATCAGGACGCGGGGGACGATGAAGAAGAGGATGACAGGGAGGATGCAAGAAGTTTGCTCAGGAAGAAGAGATTCAACATGGAGCTCCTCTGTGCCATCACTGATCCTGACCATACGAGGAATGAAATAATAGAAGAAGTTAAAAGGTAAGAGATAAAAAAAGTTAGTAAAAAACCAAGCTGGTTAAATATTCGTAAGAATTTTAATCCCTAATCAACTGTACACGTTAATTTATATATTTTACATTTTCACTCGTCAAAATTCTAAGCAATAACTATAAAATAAAAATTAAATTATTATAAACTGTCATTCAATTTAAAATATGAATTTCGAAAAGAATTTTCGCATCATATTCCAGGATTTGTTTTATTGAAATTAAATATATTTTCAAAAATTTAGAATAAGGTATCTTCGGTTTGTGATTTCCTTGAAAGATGAGCTGTTGATGAGTAACTTATGACTAATACATATTTAGAAGCTTCTAGAAATTTTTAAAATATAAATAATTGACATTGATAATTATCAAAGATAAATATCATCTTTTACGGGCTTAAAATAAATTTCAAAAACTCGAAATTTCGAAGTGTTAACTAAACTAAGCGTTTATTAATTAAAATCATAATCCATGGCATAATACAGGCTGTAAACGCATTGCTATAACTATTACAGTTAATGTTTAATCTAACCTAACCTGTAAAATAAGTACATATACAAATAAAAACAAAAAAAATATATAACAACAAATAAAATTTCGAACTGGTCCATCGTACACCTAGACAACTTACTAATTAGGAATCTAAATAATTAAAACAGAGAAAATAAATCAAAATATTAAAAAAGACAATAATAACAATAAGTAAAATAATAAGCTTTCAAGTAAATTTATTTTCCTTTTTTTTTTAAATTTATTTCAACAATACTTAGATAAAATAATCGTTTGTCAAGTTGTAGTTACCTGGATTAAATAAAAATAACATCATTGCACTTGGTAATTAAATTGAAATTAATCAGTAAAATAAAACTGTTAAAGCTGTAGTAAAATAAATTTATCGTTCACATAAATCGGTACCAGTTCCCTGTAATAAAATATCACTATAATATATAGTATCCTCTTAATAAAATAAATATAACAGTAAAATCTGTAATATATCTAACATGGTCATTTCACTGAGTTTATTTTTCTAATTTCATCTCGTATCTCTTTGGTATAAGTTCTGTGCATTACGGATCCCAATTAGAATTCAAATTGCGGCTATTAAAATTGTATACAATTATTAAACATTAACTCCGCCTTTCAATGTAGTCCGTAATACTCACCTCTTTTTATCAAACTGTTAACATTCTTCTGAAACTTCGTAAATGGCTTCATCCCATCGTAACCTACAAATATTTGATTTATGAAAATTCCCGTCGTTTTCAATCTTGAGGTGAACAAACTTTATCTATTCAATTAAGTAGTAAAACTCGTCAATAACCATTTGCATTCCACTTGGATCGTAAGATTTGTCAAAATAACGAAGTTATATAGGCCAAACGGCTCAATATTTTGGTAGGTCACCTTTTTGATCGATTTTGGGAACAAATCTTACGATCCTAGTGGAATGCCAATGGGTATTTGCGAGTTTTTAGCATCTAATTAAATAGACAAAGATTGCTGACCTCCAGATTGAAAACACCCCAATAAAGAGAATTTTCATAAATTAAATATTTATATTTTATGATGAGATGAAGTTATTAACGAAGTATCAGATGGATGTTAATAATTTTATAAAAAGGAGCCTGTACCACGGACTATATTAATATTCTTCTAGAAATATATGGTATGATTGTGTTTATGGTATGATCGTGTTTAGAAGTTTTTATTTTATTTTATTTGTTTATTTTATTTATTTTTTTTATTTAACTTCTTCATCAGTATTATTTATTTACTTCTTATATTTATATTTCTTTCTTATTTGTACATATTGTATGAATGAGAAACTTTTAGCCCTAATGCTTATAGCCCTCCAGCAGTGGCTGATTGTATTATTATTCAATAAACAGATTATAAAAAAAAAAAGAAGAAATATATGCTATTTAACAACGAATTAAATACCAAGTCATATACTACAATGAAATAAAACACAATATAATACGCAACGTTAAAAATATAAATTTGTTATCAATAACTGTTAATAATATTCAAAATAATTCGTTAATACGCTAATAAAGATTATTGTCACCTACAGTTCATTCAGCATAACACCGGTTCACTTTGTTAGAGATGACCTATTCCGATCACTTGTAACCCAGCAATATAGTCAGTTGCACAGACCTCTTTTTATCGAATTATTAACATCCGTCTGAAATTTTGTAAATAGTTTCATCTCATCGTAACCTACAACTATTTTATTTACGAAAACTCTTGGAATTGGTGCGTTTTCAATCTGGAAAGGGGCAAACTTTGTCTATTTAACTAGGTACTAAAAACTCCTTTGCTTTCTATTTGGATCCTAAGATAATTTGATCGCAAAATCGATACAAAATATGCCCTACAAAAATATTGGGCCGTTTGTACAATATAACCTCGTTATTTTGAAATTTTGGGGATGTAAGTCACGCCATACGACTCAATATTTTTGAAGACCACCTTTTTTCTCGACTTTGTGATCGAATTATTATACAATCCAAGTAGAAAGCAAATGAATATTTACGAGTTTTAGTACCTAACTAAATAAACAAAGTTTGCCCCCATCCAGATTCAAAACGCCCCAATTCCAAGAGTTTTCGTAAATAAAATAGTTGTAGGTTACCATGAGATGAAATTATTTACAAAGTTTCAGGCGGATGTTAATAATTCGGCGGATGTTAAAAAGGGTTCTGTTCACGGACTAATAATGTTCCGTGAATCAAGTTACTTTTTTTCTAAATGTTTTTAATTATTATTTTATAAATTAAACTCAGCAAAGAGTAATCCCAAACCAGATCTTTGAAGACTTCATTCCTAATGAATTCCGTTATTGTTTTTCCTATTCCAAAACAGGTAGATTGGTCTTCGTAATCCTGGTGTTTGCATCATGATGGACGATTACATCCCAGCTTACGCCTCTGCCAAATATTTATACGTGTTTACACTCCCAAGAAATTCGATGCTAAGACAATATTCTACTAATAGCAAAATAACAATATTAAAACAATAGCATGGGTCAATATCCGCATCAAGTTTCATCAGTACCGCCTCAGAGTTCTTCTATTAAATGTTTTTGATATTTCATCAATAAAGGTAATATGATTAACAACTAACTTACTTTTTTTGTACCATAGCAAAAGAAGGGCTGGGTTTATTTTTTATTGAGGCATATGATTCTTCTGAGATCCTGATATACGAGTCAATTGTATCCATGAAATTTGAGTACAACACAATTCTTCCCTCAGAACTGAATAAAACACACCTTTCATTTCAAGGAAAACAAAACTTCCTTTCTTCTTTCTCATATCCTTTCAATAACAACTTTAAGAAATAATATAAGGTTCTGATTTTTCCTTCCTTGTCTGAATGCTGGTTCTTTGAGATCTTTTTTAACGACCTTCCTCATTATCTTTTCCAATATTCTTGTATATATTTTATACATAACTAGCAAGAGGAATATAGATCTTTCGTATTTCTGATGACGAAGAAATGTTTCTCATTCCAAAGCTTTTCAAAGTCATCAGCCCATGGAATACTTGTATGCCTCCATAGTTAAATATAAAGAAAATATAAAATCATTAACCACACCGTCCTATGGCTTTACTCTGTTTTAATCTCAGTACAGCAACAAGCTCTACTACTTCTTCGTTGATTAAGTCATCTTCCACACTCCTTTGCTTTGCTCTTCTTTAGTCACCATTATTCCTTGTGACTATTGATCTGAAATTTTGTTTATACTTCTTATCGGCTCTCCTCTTCTGCACTACAAGGCCTAAAGTGAGCTTCAATACGTTTTGGTATTATATTCTTATGTTTACTTAATTTTATTTTCACATCATTCCTCTTTTCAACATATTCTCCCCAAACTTTTGGATTCTTTGAGTTCAAATAATTTCTCTAAACTTTTTTTTGTGTCATAACTTCCATCAGCTCCATTAAGTATTAGTACTCTTAGTCTGTCGTCCTGTTTCGATGAAGGACAATGTTGGCTCTCCTATCTTTCCATATTTCATTTATTTTTTTACTCGACATTAATAATAAAGGTTTATAAAAGAAAAAGAAACCCTGTTTAATTTCATACGAAGTCTTTCATTGGAATTGTTTGACTCTGTGTTGTTTAACCATGCTGCAAAAGAAAAGTAAACTGAGAAAGAGGTAGCAGTTTGTTAAACGACTCTGGGGAAATTTGATACTGTCTCATCTCTGTTAGGAACAGTCATACCCGGTTCACTGTTGGACATCTCATGAATAAAATACCAAAACGAAAAGAGAAGTTCGGTGTTGATCTGTTATGTTTCCCACTTAAGTATCATTATAACCTTCCACCGATTTTGATCTCGGCTCTACTTTAAAACGTAATCAATAAATAAATTAAAAAGGAAGAAGATGGTCCGGGATGGCGATAATAAATAGGCTAAATAGTGGCAAAACTATTTTATTAAAAGCCAACGTTTCGATCCGACTTTGCAGGTCTTCTTCAGGGCTTGAACGGATAAGATACAAAAAGATATAGAGAATTTTGGAAGTTACATAATATTTAGACAAAAAATTATAAATAATGTGAATAAGATTATTAAAATTATAAAAAGTAAGTACATTAAAATAGAAACAGAGTAAGCTAAGTAACAAGATCCTAAATTGAAGTAAATAGATGGTAATAATTGTTGTAGTGCATTATATAATATATATGCAAATATGAATATACTTCTACAGATCTACAGGAGAGATTGAAAGAAAATGAAAAAGGATATAATATGAAATAATACATATAAAGGAATGTGGGAAAAGAAAAGAAAACAAAAAATAAATAAATAAGTAAATAAAATTAGAAGAATAAAAATAGAGACTTACAGGTGTGTTCAGCTGGGAGTTTCACTTACAACTGGAAAATCAGGGTAAGGGTAGGTATTGGGGAATTTGCAGAACTGTTTGGGTAATGGGGAAAAACCTAGATTTTAATGTACTTACTGTTTATAA